AATTAAACCTTTATCGACAAATATAAACATTAAACAAACGATATTTCAAGCGAATATACTACCAGCATATTATGAGATTCTGATTATGGCACACGTTAGGCATAAAATGATTGATATGTTTTAGTCTAACTGAGCTGAAAGCAAATAAAGGCAATGTAATTGAGAGTAACTATAAGGCACGGCTAAATGAGCTGAAACGATGATAACTAAATGACACTTGAGTCAAGAATGCGAAGAGGAGGTCGCCAGCTGCGACGACCATCCTTTTTTGCTAGATGCTTGGCGCAGCTGCAGCCGTACAAAGAAAGGACTGGCCGCGCACTCAACATCATGGCAATCAAAAGTCAATAATCGTAACAGAAATTATAGAATTTATCGGTCGAGTTTCTCGACACTCCGGGCCTGCTTGGTGATCGTTCTTCTCCATCAATCGTTTCCTTCGTCCTCTTCCTCATCTTCTGCTTGTTGGCGTCTTCTTTTCTCGGCCGGCTGCCCTGCTCCTGCTTCATCTCCATTTCTGCTCCGACTCGGTCCAGGATGCGTAGTTTCTTCTTCCGGCGGTTGAGGGGCTTCAAACATGCGTGGTTCTGGGTCGCGTTGCTGCCGCTCTTGTAGCTCTTCTTCGTCCTCCTCCATCATCTCGATTAGGTCGGAGATGTAGTCCCTAACCTGGTTGAGGACTACTTCGACGCTGCTCACGTTCTGAGTGGCGACCTCACTCATCGTGTGCTTGCTCAAGGGATCCCGCTCCATCTCGAGCACCTGCCATGCTTGCCATCTTCCCCGAGATACCAGTCCTGCTTCGGCCTTGATCTTGTAAATATCCGAGATGTGGCAAAAGTTCGTTGTTATGCGAACAACGTCTCCCTGCAGCTCTCTTCCCGTATTGAGCATTTCTTGGTAATCCATGAGCCTTTGAAGTCGCGCGCCGGGATTTTGACTTTTCCTGAACCTGTAGATCCTGCACTGTGAAATGAAGTTCGCTACTTCATCGGTTTTCGCTCTCATCTTCGTCATGAGCTCGGCAATCTCTTGTTCAAGGTCCTCAGCAGTATCCGACATTCTTGAACGCAGGCTGTTGATTTCCTCTTGATATTGTTCGTAACGTCCTTGTTCCATATTCTGTCTGGAATGAAATTGATTCGTGCAATGTTTAACCTGTCCGATGTGAATTTCTGTGATCTGTGCCGTACGATGAGAATAAGTTGAATAAGCTGCTTTTTCCCGAGAGTAGAAATGCACCATTTTACAGAAGTTTCTCATGGAGCCTTTCTTTGATTTCTGACTGCAATAGGCAGAAAGGTCGGCATAGGAGACGAAAAAACAGCAGTATGAGCAGCATAATTACTTTGAGAAAGCGGAATACACAGCACACTCCTTGCAATGAAAAACAAGCGTAGGTGATTCCCAAAACGATTAGTAGTGCGATTACTGCCACTATCAGCGTTTTGTACCACTGCAGGAAGACTTCCGCGATGTGCCAAAAATCCGGCCACTGAGCCTCTGCTTCTTGGTCTCCATTCCCTGACAACCATTGTGTCATCATTCCATGAGCTGTTTGTGTGAATCTGAGAATGCCTCCTACTTCAAAGGTTGTTACAACCGTTCCACACGACACTGAGCATGTCATTTGCACTCTCGCTCGATCCAGGCTGAACTGAAGCTCTGAAAGCGCACCTTGTGAGTCGCAGTCCACCGTGAAACTGGCAGTCCCGCAGATGATTTCTGCTTGAGTTTGCTTTGGTGCCGTACACTTGACTGTAGCTTTTGCACCTCTAGCGCATTTGTAGCAACCTGTTAGAATTGCATCTGCGATTGTGCAAACTGTGCTATCCACCACCACGTTTGTTCGTACATTTTCTTGGATGGTTACGATGATTTCCGCCGTCGTCAAGCTTTGTACCTCAGCTTTTACTTGTCCTTCTTCGTTTTGCTTGAATGAAACCGCTGGAAATATTGCCGGTAGGCGATTTCTGACGTCCCCAAACATCTCAGGGATGCTTACGTCTTGACATTTGCAGTTGGCTTGGACTTCCGCTGGAGCACATTGGCAGTTGTCTACAACTGTGCAGTCCAATTGTTCTGCGGCAGTTTTGTTGGTGCACCAAAGAGGTGGTTTCATCACGGAATTCCAAAGTGCCGTGTTGTTTCCATCGGTGATGAAAGCTGTGTTTAGCAGCGGGATTGGTGGGATGGTTACCGAGGTTAATGTGAGAGTGAACGCATTCCAGATGATGGGTACATTGGGGACCATGATTCCAGTGAATATGCGTGTCACTCCTTGTATTGCATCAAAGTCTGTAAACTTGACTTTGGCCGCCAGCCTCCAACGATTGCAGTGGAAAATTTCGAATACTTGTGGGGATACTGGGGTGAGGTAGATGCGATAGAAAAGACAGCCGGAGCTCCAGTAGAAACAATCGCACCCTGGTCCTCCACAGGATTCGACACAGGCCGTGATTCCTGGATAGTGATTCCCTTTCTCCAGCTCCGGTAAGAGGCTTGTGGCGTTTATCGACGCGCATTTGTTTCCTACGCAGGAACCTACGTGCGGGCATCTTTTGCTGTCCACCACATTGTAGATCGTGTCCCGAGTGTACATTTCGTGCTCTTGTTCGCAGGTAAGACTGAGCAGTTTCCAGGATGCCCTAACTTCGTGAATAGTCGAGTTATTCCTTGTTAGTCTGAAACAGGCCTCTCTTTTGAAAGGGTTGATTTTGAGGACTTCCGACACGTGAATCTTGCAGGTCTCGGTTCCATTTGCCTTTGTGCACACCGTAGACTTGTGCGAGAACAGATTCACTTGTTGACATCCTTCTGCTGTATTCACTGTTATGCTCATCACTGCGACAATAGCTAGCAGTTCTATAAGTTCTGCCGCTCGGATTTGCTGTCGTCTTCGTGCTCGTTGTAAAGGTCGGCAACCTCTGCGAATAACGCTCTTGATGCCGTTCCACAAAAGGCGTAATGCGATCCAACATGGCTTTCCGAGCGTGAGCGGCACATAACAGAATACATAGCATCCAGTTATGAAGAAGTAGATGACTATGGTAGTCGCTACGATAGCTCCAACAGGCCAACACTCAGGGTTGAAAATGACCGCTGAACAGAGTATGCAATCGATCTGGTCGCAGAACGGAGTTGGCGGGCAGGTAGTTTCTATTATCCTGATTGTTTCATTGTACAGAAGTTTCCATTGTACAAACTGTTCATAGAGGGTTATCTGTGGCGGAAAATGGATTGTCTCGTTTGTTTTCGGCACCGAAATTGATTTGCAATAATCTTCCGCACAGACCTCATATGGGACAGTCTCCATGGAAAGCAACTCAACTCCTCCTGGAATGCATTTGATTGAATGTGTTTTCTTCGCTTGTACCTTTGCCAGAGCATTCGCGTTTCCGCAAAGTGCGCTCAGAAGACAGATCAATAGGAGCATGTTCGTCTGGAAGTGTTTCACTTGTATGGACATCGCGTTTATTCCTTTGTAATCCACTCTCCGGTTAGGTCGCAGATCATATCGCGAGGTCTGTGCTTCCTCCAGTTGATTGTTACTGTCGGTGCTCGCGGTAGCGGGTTCTTGCGCTTGTTGTTCCCCCTCTTCTAATTCTAGTGGTACAAGAAGGTTGAGAGGCCGGCGGATCTTTCTTTGAGATGGGAGTTTCACCAGAGCTTCCCTTATAACTCCTTCGGTGTTTTTGACAAGTTCTTCTATTCGTCCGACTTTCCAGGAATGTCTTGGCTGGACTGGATCACACAGCAAGACAACTTCGCCTACCTTCGAAGTATAGTTCGAACTTCTTTGACTTCCTACTTGGCGTTGATGTTTCTCTCGGAGAGCCGTCAAGTATTGATTTCGCCACAGCTGCCAAAATTTCTCGGTCAGTTTGCAGGAAGATTGCAAAGCTTGAACTGCTTGAGCCTTTGTAAGAAGCAAGGCTTTTTCTGCTGGTGGCAAGTAAGATGGATCCTCTCCTTCATCATTTACCGCATCCAGTGGATAGGATATCCTCATCTCATTTTGTAAGAAGTCAATTGGCCTCAATATCCTTTCATTTGCGAAATCCGATTCCACGTATAACAGGGGTCTTGTGTTGAGGATCGCTTCGATTTCGATGGTAACCGTGGTTAGCTCTTCAAAGCTTAGCACGCCTTTGCCCAGAGTTTTGTAGAGCGTTTGCTTTACGGACTTTATCAGACGTTCGTAGAAGCCTCCTTGCCAGTGTGCGTATGGAGTGTTGTAATGCCACTCAATTTCTCTGTCGAGTATTTCACGCTCAACAGCGGGATCGCTTTCAGCTGCTTGAATCGCTTCTCTGAGTATAGTTTCTCCTAGCATGAACGTGGGAGCGTTATCACTTGTGATTGATCGTGGAATTCCCCTTCTTGCAAAGAAGCGCCGCAACATCCAGAGGAAGGCTGCTGTCGACATGTCGGAAACTATGTCCAGATGGATTAATCTTGTGGTCATGCACGTGATTATGCTTCCGTAACATTTACCATCTGTTCCATCAGGTAGTGCAATTGGCAAGGGTCCGTAGTAGTCCAATCCGACATGCTCAAATGGTCTAGATTTCTGCACTCGTCTTGCAGGAAGATCCGTTTGCTCTGGATACTTGTAAGGCAGATTGTTGAACTTTTGGCAGGGTATACATCGCCTCACAAACCGCGTGACCTGTGCTCGCAGTTTTGGTATCCAATACTGTCGACGTATGTTCGCCATAGTATGGCTTACGGATAGATGCCCTCTGCCGTGGCAGTCGTCGATGATTCTTTCCGCCAACATCGAGTTTTGTAGGATGATCAACGGAATTTTGGCTTCATCATCTAGGTCGCTGTTTCCCAGTCGTCCATAACATCGAAGGAGGCCTTCGGCATCTTTTTTGATGTTCAGTTGCTGCATGGAGTTAATGACTTTTGAGGTTATTTGCTGTTGATGAAGTCTGATGAGCAGCTTTCCTGCGATAAGTATCTCCTTTCCGTTTAGCCTTGTTCCCACAGCGTTATTCTGTGCGGAAAGTAGCATAGATAGTGATATGGGTGACTGGTTGTTGGCACTTGCCTGGCCTACGACATTCCTGACGAAACGGAGGATCCAGGCTACAATGCGCCTTGTTTGCTGCCATGTGCGTCGCTGCAATGAGGATAGCACAGCCGAGTCTTCTTTGCTTTGGCAATATTCGACCGTCCTGGAGGCAAGAACTTGTTTTTCCTTCACTAGAATTTCCTCTCCTTCGTTAACGGTGCTTTTCATTACGACGTGCCAATCGCTTTGTGACCATTGCTGCGGTGGATTTTGGAGAAATTCCGGACCTGTCCACCACATGTGGTTTTGCAGTTCTTCGAGATTCAGTCCTCTTGTGCCTGCGTCTGCTGGATTATCTTCGGACGTGACGTAGTTGAAATGAACTGTGTATCCCTGGTCATTAAGATGTTTCAAAATCTTGTTTATCTCAAGCAGCCTTCGGAATACCACTGGTCCAACGTCCTTCAACGGGTTCTTTTTTATCCAGCTTAGCACGATCTCTGAGTCAGAGAATACGAAGACTTGATTGACTTGTAGCACGGACCGCAATTGTGCTAAGATTGAGTTCGTTATTCGTAACGCCAATGTCACTGCATCCAATTCTCGTTTCGGTATAGTCGATTTTCCTTTGAGTGAAGGAAGTTTCCTTTTTGCCATCAAAAGGTGCGTGGAATTGGATCCTAGTCGCAAGTAACTGCATGCTGCGATGGCTTCCTCGCTTGCGTCGGCGAACGTTATGAGAATAGCATCCATCATTCTTGTACAGACGAAGCGTGGCAGAGTTCTTGTAAAACCATGCATGGTTTTGCAAATCTTCTTCCATCTCTTGTGGAGGTCAGGCGGCAAGGGCGTATCCCAGTCACAATTCATCTGCCATAGCTCTCGCAAGAAAAGCTTTGCTTTGTGCATCAAAGGAAGCATCCATCCCATTGGGTCGTAAACTGAAGCAATCATGCTGGCTACCTTTCTTTTAGATACCTCCGAATGATCTTCCATCGCACATGAAACTTCTATGGTGTCTTCGCGGGAGTTCCACCTGATACCCAGGACTTTGGGCTTGATTTCCGAAGATGCGTCTTTCGTGTCGAATTTTGATGCGACGATAACATTGTTGGTCACGTACTCACGGAGATTCATCTTCAGATCGTTGAATATTCTTTTGGTTCGTTGGTAAATATGATTCGCCTCTTCTTCGGTGTCAGCCGTCATCATCAGATTATCGACGTACATGTTTTCTTTGATCTCCGTTGTGAGAAGCAGATCTTCGGGATATTGGTCGAGGTGAAAATGTGTCGTCGCTGCTAGTAAAAAGGGTGACGTGACGAGGCCGAAGGTGACACGTGTGAAGCGGAGAGTCTTGATATTTTCGGGGTTAGGTGGAGATCTGTGGTTCCGTAGCCATAGGCATCTGGTCGCATCTCTATCAGCTTCATGAAGTCGTACTTGCAGAAATGCTTTTTCCACGTCCGAAATCATTGCGATTTTTCCTATTCGGAAACGTAACAGGATGCCATACAGTTGTGGAAGTATGACTGGCCCTCTGTGCAACACATCATTCAGCGAGGGTGAGGTTTTGTAGTGCGCTGAAGCATCAAATACGATCCGCAATTTTGTAGTCGTTTTCTGCGGGGTAATCACTGCCTGGTGGGGGACATAATGAATGTGTTCTCCCAAAGCGACGGAGTCTTCTAGTATTTCTTCCAGTATGCTTGCTTTGAGTTGTTCTTCGAAGACTTCGTTGTACTGTTCCAGCAGTTTTTCGTCCTTCCGCAAAGTGTTCCAAACGCTTTCTAGTCTTCGCAGTGCGATGGCCTTGTTGTCCGGGAGCTCAAATGGTATTGACTTCCATGGTAAGCGCACGTAGTAACCATCTTCTCTTTTTTCGATGGTTTCCTTGAATTGGTTCCAAACCTGCTGATCGATTCTTTCCTGCGCTACTTTTTCAGAGCTCATGAATTCCTCCGTTCCTGCGAACTCCATGACGAGATACTTCTCAAAGGAGTCTTCGTCCTCGCCTGCTTGTATTATAGGCGTCTGCACCGTTAGTATACTGATTTTGCCATCCATTGTGCACGCAGCTTCCCACTTTGCCGTCTCGTCTTTCTGAAGTAACTTTTCTTGGGGCTTTGTGATAATGCCTGTGATCAAGTTCCCTAGACGAGTGGAAAGTAGGTAAAGTCCTGATGGCAGGCAGACACTTGGCTGATTCTCCTTGATCAATGGCCACAACTGATCGCAACCTAATAAAATTCGTGGTTGTATTGTAGTGTTGTTCTGCCAATCTGTCATCAGAATGTTCTGCTCTTTCATGTAATCTAGGTCTTCTTTTCTGTAGGGAGCACGGTCTAGTGGCGCGGTCAGTACATCATGGGTGAAGAGCTTCAGATCAAGAGTGTGTCCTTGTGAGTCCCATCCTTGGAGGAGCACGCGCCTGCATAGATTTTCCTTCACTTCTTCTGTGCCAAAGGTGTGAATCGGGAGCCTTGTAGTCTCGATTGTGGGAAGTTCCAGTTCTTCCGCCAAAGAGCTTTCAATGAAAGACACCTCTGCTCCGCTGTCCAGAAGCACTCCAACCTTTTTCAACGTTTTCGTCGAGGGATTCAACACTGTAAGTATTCCTGCAGGAAGGAAAGTTCTGCTCAACCTTCTAGTTTTGTGTACTGGTTGCAGATCCAGTGCAGACACAGCTTCAGTTTCGGAGTTGTCTTCATGGAGGGCGTTTACCTTTCTTGCTTCTTTATGCGTTGGGTTTCGTTCCGTATCTCGGGCTTTGGGTTTTTTCCCTTCGCTCAACGGTGGACTTGTCTTCCTTGACGCTCCTTGGTCTGCCGTAGTGTCACCTCTGAAACAGCATGATGTGTGGTGTGGTCCTCCACACCTGAAGCACATTCTCTTCTTGCAATTAGCAGTTGAATGCTGTGCTGAGGCGCATATGAGACAGAGCTTGTTCTCGCGTAGGTAGTTGGAGCGTTCTTGTGGAGTACTGTATCTTTTGCAATCGGCTGACTTGTGGCTTCCTTCACAATACATGCAAGTCCCTAAGTACGTTTTTGTTCGGTCACATCGTCTTTTCTCCGGCTTAGTAGGTGTTGGGTCCGGCTTGGTGTTCTTCATGTATACCGCAAGCATTTCGTCTGTGGAGATTTCTTCCTCAAGATACTGTATAAGCAGGTCGAGGTTGAAGCTGACTCCAGAGTTCTTTGCGGCTTGTTTGCGTACTAGTACTTTGCGCTGTACCGTATCCGGGAATTTCGTCAGAACTTGCTGGTACATCCACTGGTTGTCCACTTGTACTTCTTTCTGTCGCAGCTGCATGATGATGACTTGCAGCTGCTCGAAGAGTGTTCGCTGGTCACGAATGGATGCCGAGTGCAGGTGGCACTTCCCGAGTTTTTCAATAAGATGCGTGACGAGTTCGTCGCGATCACCGTACTTGTGTTGAAGAAACTCGATGGCTTTTGAATAATTTCCTTTGGCGACTTGGAACTTCTTGATTAGTGCGAGAGCATCTCCTCGAAGAGCTTGCAGTAAATAATTGAATTTGCACAACTCCGGTATATTTCTTGAATGGACATTCTCGATGAACAGTTCCCAGAAATTGTCCCACTCCCATATGTTTCCTTGAAATATGGGTACAGGAAGTGTGGGAAGGTCCAATCTTTCATGCGAAGGCTGTGATGTCGTTTGTACCTGGACTGATCCACTGTGTTGGTTGTGTTCTGCCTGTGCTTTTACCACAATGAAAGCGTGAACCCTTGCCTTCAGAACCAGTAAGTAATCCGTGGCCGAAATGAGTGCTTTTTCCGCTTTTGCTGAATATTCCTCAAAGTCTTGTTTGTCTTTTTCAGTCGGGTAGTCCAGCTCCGTGAATTTCGTAGCGTACTCCGTCATTGTTTGTTTGATGTTGTGCGTCACTGTATCTAAAGCTCCTATTGCTTCGCTTAGTCGCTGGAGACTTTCCCTTGTGTATTGAGAAGCTGATTCTCCTTGCGCTGCGGCTACGTTAAGGGTCTCAAGTTCCTCGCCCTTGAATCTTGAGATGATAGTGTCCAGCTTATTGCAATAGTGAGTTAAAAGGCGTTTGTCCGTAATCAAATGTGCAGCCATAATTAATTGCAGTGACCAACAATGCTTCAGGACAGACAAGGAAAGTTTTCTGACTTCAGTAGATATGATATTCGTGGAGTGCGATCAGTGTTGTGCGAAAAAATTGTTCAAATTGTCGATATTGATGTGACAAGAGCGGATCAGGCAAAAACTCTTGTGTTGTTCCGAGATTTGAAGACAGCAAACTAGAGCGGATACAGCAAAAGCTCTAGTGTATGTTCCAGAATGTCCACAACGAATCAGTTGTTGTACTTTACCGACCTGAATCCGTGTAGTCGATGCACCATGTAACGAGGTTGGGACGAGGTATATATAGTCAGTACGATAATCGTCTAATACCACTTGACCACGTCACCAAAATATCAACTGCCACGCGGGACTTTAGAGCGGAGTTGTGCACGAGGAGATGTTACCTCAAACTTGGGTAATTAAACCTTTATCGACAAATATAAACATTAAACAAACGATATTTCAAGCGAATATACTACCAGCATATTATGAGATTCTGATTATGGCACACGTTAGGCATAAAATGATTGATATGTTTTAGTCTAACTGAGCTGAAAGCAAATAAAGGCAATGTAATTGAGAGTAACTATAAGGCACGGCTAAATGAGCTGAAACGATGATAACTAAATGACACTTGAGTCAAGAATGCGAAGAGGAGGTCGCCAGCTGCGACGACCATCCTTTTTTGCTAGATGCTTGGCGCAGCTGCAGCCGTACAAAGAAAGGACTGGCCGCGCACTCAACATCATGGCAATCAAAAGTCAATAATCGTAACAGAAATTATAGAATTTATCGGTCGAGTTTCTCGACAAGAACCCTCTATGCATCCGTGGCAGAAAAATGGCCCTTGACAATGTGCACATGGCTCACATGTACCTTACCAATGACGGACAGCTTTGCAAGCATGTAGCTCGGCCGGCGGTCAATCGAATCTGTATGTAGTTTGATCGTAAGACTTCCTCGACACGAAGGTATGCAAATGAAATGAATCTGAAAATGCTGAAATTTCTGAGGATAGGTTGAAAAACGCTGCCTCAGTGATGAAATTAAGGCTCTTATCCAACAACAACTCCAGCAGTCTTGAAGCTTCGAAATCAATTTATCATAAGAAGGCTGACAGTTTTTCCAGAATAGAAATGGTAGCGAAACGTGCCTAATTTCAGTTGAAAACCTAAAGCCTACTATTTCGCTTTTTCAACCCATCCTCAAAATTTCCGTGATTTCCTAAACTCATCTCACTTGCACACCATCGTGTCGAGGAAGTCTTGCTCCTTCGAGGTTACATACAAACTCGTAGACTGACCGTAAGTCCGCCTACAAGTACATGTCATTGGTGAGGTTCAGGTGAGGTCATGTGCACGTACTTTCAAAAGCCATTTTCAGCAAAGCTCAGCACACGTTCGATGCATAGAGGGAAATGGATAGCGTCCTTATCCGAAAAGCTTGTTAGGATGTTTTGCATCGACGTTGTTGAAGGATTTTGGTTGCAAAGGAGGGAACAGAAATTAATTTTCGAAAAAGCAATAGAAAATTCAAGCTTATGTTATGAAGGAAGTAGCCACGATCAGATTATAATCTATAATGAGCTTTGAGTAGTATGTTTACCGTTTGGACTCTTTGGATTTTTGTGTTTTCGCTTCGATGAAGAACTCGAAAGAAATCCGCGCTCGGAGAATTGTTTCCGCGCGCGTCGCTACATTCAACTTTTTTGGTAGATATTTTTTTAGAATTTTAGGAATTCTTTTTTTTTCAGAAGGCGCTATGTAAGCCTTAGCTCTTAAAACGCTTTATTATCTCATCAATCTGGTCATTTTTTCATAGTTGTTTTCTATCTGAAATGAGCGATAAAGAAAGGAGGGCGGCTCGACTGCAACTTTATGGCGTTGTATGTATAACAAAGTGACATAAGTCCAGTGCAAAATAGAAGTACACTGAAGTATCTATCTATCATCTTAGGGTAAGCTTGCAAAAGAAAGCTCTTGAGCAAATTTGTGTTATTGCTCGAAATTAGAAATTTTCAATAAGGAATGATCAGAAATTGAAGTGGCAAATCCAAACATGCTGCATACCGTTAGATGCAGCTTAGGAGGTAACTTCGAATCTGCATTGCATATAATGCTCTATTGATGTGTCCAATTCACCTGAAAAATACTAGCTATCAACTTCGGTTCTTACCCTAGACTTCAAAAGTTCAGTTAACCGAGCGTGTGTACCGAGAGTGCGCGGAAAGCACCTTGAGACAAATTGCAGCATGTTTCCGACCTTAAGATTGCCTTCCCTGCCTACATGATCATGCGGAGACTGCTTAGAGCATGACAAGCTGTCATTTTCCTAAATGAATTGGACACATCAATAAAGCAATAAAAAAGCCCAGATCGCCGCGAAAATCCTATGTTCATCGGTGTGGTCGAAAATATAAGTGTACAATATCACCTCAATTCCACAACCTTGATTTTCCAAACGAAGGCACAACCCAAACGACCCTACAGGTTTAAGTTTTATTTATATAGATTTCATATTTCTGGAAATGTCTTCTTTATGCGAACGTATCTGCACGAAGCGTTGAGCTGAGTCGTTTACAGCGCACAGGCAATTGCGTAGGGCCAAAATTATTAGGCGGGAATTCTATGAATAAAAGCATTGCAGAGTTTCTTCTGCTATCAGCTTTGTGTGAAAATGAGGTTCTATATGCTAATTCGATGTGAGTGCGAGTAAAAAGTGCATACCACGGTTGAGCAAAAGGGCGCCGCCGGATCCCTTCCCCCCCCCCCCCAACATTACTAGGTGTAACATAGAGACTCTGGTAAGCACGATGAGTGACACATTCGTGTTTGGAATGTTATTTGATTATAGTGGACGAAGTTTCTTAGCGAACCCTAAGGTTTCCAAATATTCGCCCACTCTAGCTTCAGTGATGGTTATTCTCAAATACGATTAACCTTGTTCCAAACGTAGCTCGAACTCTTCTTGCACTGCGTAGAAAGCACTACTCCTTCTTTGCCCACGTGAAATCCCCACTTTGAATAATTGCCAAACCAAATCCATACCAAGAATTTACGCTATTAACCATGTATTGAATGTCCGCCAAAAATTTCTTTTGAAGGTAAGTTAATGGGATGTGCCACTACCCCTTAAAAGGCATGGCAGACGCACTTTTTGAGGGTTGTGCTACACCCCATTAACTTACCTTTGTAGAACACAAAAACATTCTTGTAGTGTTCTTACCGCTAAACTCCTTCTTTTCTTGACGATAGGAATTTTTCCTAACGGTTTTTTGCTGCAAAATATATAATATAATATTCGTTAAATATTCGTTTTTGCAATCCTACGTACGGAACAAATATGGGAATGGAAAGTGTGCCGAATCTGCACTACTGTACATGACAATGTAAGGTGACAAAGAGTTACATGTGCGATAGCACACATCTCTCAGACTTCATATTAGCGATGTGGGCCTAAATTCTCTTTACTGACTAGCGATTGCTAAAACATAATTATTGGGAGCGAAAATGAGACAGACAAGATTTCGGCTAGTTTCTAATTCCGTAGCCTGAGGGTTATTTGATTCGTGATTTCCCATATGGGCAAAGAAGGAGTACTAATGATGAATGCATAGTAGAAAGAGGTAGTCAACCCATTTGAACTAGTCGTGTTTGTAAATGACCATCACCTTTGCGGCCCTATCACTGGAACCCTCAGAAATCGCCAAAACATGATTAACAAAGGTTGTTGACATGCTAATTACGAAAATAACACAAATTTGCTCAAGAGCTTTCTTTTGCAAGCTTACCCTAAGATGATAGATAGATACTTCAGTGTACTTCTATTTTGCACTGGACTTATGTCACTTTGTTATACAGGGTGCGGCAAAAGTCTGGGAGCCTAGTACTTTTTCGTACAAAACGAGAAGGTAAGTACCTAGAAACGAAAAGTTTGGCGCACGCATAACTCGAACCATTCCTGATACAGCTCAGTTCTTGAATTTCAAAACTGCCTCTTTTGGCTTCCACGCAGCCCTACAAAATCTTGGCAAGTCCACCTGTCATGGCACGCAGGTAGTCGTAATGGAATTCGCCCCACGCCTTCACGATAACTGCTTCTTTTACCTTGAAAAATGCGCAGCGTGATAGAGCAAACTTTTGTCTACAACATACTTCCAAAAGAATTTTTTGCATTGCTTAGGAATAAAAATATAGGATTTTCAATTAGAAGCATGTGTGCGTCGCATACCGGAATTTTGTCTACAACTGCTCGAATAAAAAATCAAAAATATAGTTTAAAAAGTATAAAAAGTGTTCCAATGGCCGAATTTCAATAGATTCTAATTTAGAAGACGTATGCAAAAAATACAGCCTTGGTCCTAGTGCCTGTTGAGCATTCTATAACTTTTAAATTTGTTCTGAAGACGGATTTCCATTGGCACGTAGGTAACATTCGCAAACTTTTATTTTCCGTTCATGCAAGAACAGCTCCTGACAAAAACAAAATTAGGATATAATAGCACAAAGCCTCTCCTATATTGTTTGCATCGAAGTTTTGCTAAATATTAACAGCATCTCTATTTACAGCAAAAATTGTAAATACCAAAAATTCTGGTTTTTTCGCGTTGCAAAAGTACTAGTTTGGTAATTTCCATTCTTACAAAAACATATGGCAGCCATTTCCAACCAAATAAAGTGTATTCTGTAGAGGATGACCGCAGCATTATGTGGCACAAAATTGAAATCAAAAGCATCAGTATCTTTGTAATTGCAGTACTGCAAAGTTAGGCTCCCAGACTTTTGCCGCACCCTGTACATACAACGCCATAAAGTTGCGGTCAGCCGCCCTCCTTTCTTTATCGCTCATTTCAGATAGAAAACAACTATGAAAAAATGACCAGATCGATGAGATAATAAAGCGTTTTAAGAGCTAAGGCTTACATAGCGCCTTCTGAAAAAAAAAAGAATTCCTAAAATTCTAAAAAAATATCTACCAAAAAAGTTGAATGTAGCGACGCGCGCGGAAACAATTCTCCGAGCGCGGAAACTTTCTTTCGAGTTCTTTATCGAAGCGAAAACACAAGAGTGCAAAGAGTCCAAACGGTAAACATACTACTCAAAGCTCATTATAGATTATAATCTGATCGTGGCTACTTCCTCCATAACATAAGCTTGAATTTTCTATTGCTTTTTCGAAAATTAATTTCTGTTCCCTTCTTTGCAACCAAAATCCTTCAACAAGGTCGATGCAAAACATCCTAACAAGCTTTTCGGATAAGGACGCTATCTATTTCCCTCTATGCATCGAACGTGTGCTGAGCTTTGCTGAAAATGGCTTTTGAAAGTACGTGCACACGACCTCACCTGAACCTCACCAATGACATGTACTTGTAGGCGGACTTACGGTCAGTCTACGAGTTTGTATGTAACCTCGAAGGAGCAAGACTCCCTCGACACGATGGTGTGCAAGTGAGATGAGTTTAGGAAATCACGGAAATTTTGAGGATAAGTTGAAAAAGCGAAATAGTAGGCTTTAGGTTTTCAACTGAAATTAGGCACGTTTCGCTACCATTTCTATTCTGGAAAAACTGTCAGCCTTCTTATGATAAATTGATTTCGAAGCTTCAAGACTGCTGGAGTTGTTGTTGGATAAGAGCCTTAATTTCATCACTGAGGCAGCGTTTTTCAACCTATCCTCAGAAATTTCAGCATTTTCAGATTCATTTCATTTGCATACCTTCGTGTCGAGGAAGTCTTACGATCAAACTACATACAGATTCGATTGACCGCCGGCCGAGCTACATGCTTGCAAAGCTGTCCGTCATTGGTAAGGTACATGTGAGCCATGTGCACATTGTCAAGGGCCATTTTTCTGCCACGGATGCATAGAGGGTTCTGGTAGCATTGCAAAGTTGGAGTCAGAGCGTTTTGCTATGGTAATCGATGCTTAGTTGGAATGCTGGTTTAACGCAAAAACGAAACAGCGTATTTCTCTATCGTCCTTAGATAGCAATGTATTGCAAGAGAGCTAACATCGAAGTACGATCGCCCTTTCAAAATTTGAGGTAAGATTTATAGCAACTTTGACTCTGAAGTAATATGTAGATCGGCACCAGTCACGAGAAACATCTTTTTACAGGGCTGATTTATTTCATTACAAGAATTACTTTGATTACTTACAAGTATAAACAAGTTACTTGCACATATCCATAACTCATATAACTTTCAAAACGGTTATTCTCGTAAGCCTCATTGGTCCGCCTAGGTTGGCACATAAGTTTTGCAGCTTTCCCCATAACTTCTCTCTTTTTAAATATACCGCTCTCATTTGTTCTACAGGACTGCGCAAACCGCTTGATTTTTGATTGAATTACAGAGAAAGTCTCAGCTTTTTTTCAAAGACTGATTGTAGGCAGCATGTTGCTAGAGGTTAACTTGATAATTCCACTAAAAATGTACTTTGGAGCCAAATTAAGATTTGTTGCCTTTGAGACTGAATAGATCGATCGCATCAGATTGGAGGGGCATTCCTCGATATAAACACGAACATCATATTTCTCGTTGCCAACATTTACTATTAGGTTGTCCTAAAAGTAAACCGTGTTTCTAAATAAATAAAATTGTACTTGCTTTCCTGGCAGACTTGGAACACTATTCGATAGAGCGAAGCAAGCTCTACATAATGACCACAAAAAAACCGTCTAAGTCGCAATCCAGGTAAAATTTGGATCCAAAATAAATTTTTCAGCTGCCCTAAAATTCGGATCTTTCCCCAGAAGATTCCTAGTCTTCCAATTTGGTCCTTATATAGTAGACATATGGCAGTATCGAAAAATGTTTTTGGTTGATTTTTTCCGAGGCTCAAAATTGAGGAAAAAAAAGATTGTCCGAAAATGCCAAAATGCCTTCGGCTTTTTTAAATGTAAAACTTGGTATTTCTCGATTATAAGCACCTACAGGAATAAAGTTTCATATTATACTTAACAAGGCTTGTAGTATACAATGACATATGTAGGTGAGGCTGGGGGCGAAGTTTGCCATTTTTAGACTATCTCTTTTTTCTCACTTTCTGTGCTCGGAAAAATTCCTAAAGGCATATTTGAGTACTACTATGTGCCTACTGTATAACGACCAAGTCTGAGTTCCGTACGATCATTTCTCGCAAAAATCAATTTCCAGGAAATAAATTTTTTTTCGATTTTTGCTTCAAACTTTACCTGGATCACGACATAAACGGATCTTTCGCGTTTATCGTGTAGAGCTTGCTTCGCTCTATCGAGTGTTGCCCCAAGCCTGCCAGAAAAACAAAAACAGTTTGATATATTCAAAATATTTACTTTTGGGACAACCTAATACAGCCTTATCAAAGGGACCCTTTCAAGCGAAGTGATTACCATTTTTGTAATCTGCAAGTCGAATACCGCTCCCCTGGATTATTTTTCAGCAAAATTATGCAATATAAAAGTTCGCCCTTCTCCGTAAGCTTACCATCCTTATAGGCGATGGCAAAATTCGGCAAAAATGATGCATTCGCAGAATACAACGTAATCTTCATAATACTGAGAAAATTCACCATCCAAAAGGCAGACACCATCCAAAAGGCAGAAGATGATTGAAGCTTGATGATTAAAGAAGATGAAGTTGCATTACTTATGTGCCTACCAGTGACGTACCCAGGTTTTTCGTTCGGGGTGGGGGGGAGACAAAAATTTTACATTACATTTTACATTACACAAGTTTTCACAATTTTTTGAACAATTTTGAAACGGTAGCTCTTTCTTTTTTGACACCATATGCTTCAAGTTTCTATAATCCTACAGTAATGAAGAGAGGTGGGTGATTCGTTCTATAAGCAAATCTAAGTTGAAGCCAGCTCTACAAAACGGTGCCTAAAGCAAGCAAAAGACTTCTTGGGAAGAGAGATATTGACATTAAACGCGTTCGATACATTTTTTTGGGACACCCTGTATAAGATACTATGACCAAAATTAGTCCCTATAATTTTTACCTAGAGATTTCTCAGCGATTGATTGGCACATTTTTGCTTCGTTTTTGTATACGTATTATAGCCTTTCAAATTTCAAAAATTTTGAATTTTGCCGCAAGCAAGCAAGAAAACGCTGCAAGCGTTGACGAGTTGCAGGAGTCTGCTTTTAGCTCCTGCTTTACTCTTTCACCTATAACTTCGTCTTGATTGCTTTCATTTACAGAATGTCATTGACTAAAGATAAGTAAAGCATTAATCTTCGACAACAAAATCTAAGGCAAAGATTTTTGAACGAAATTAAATCAGTGCATATGTCAGCCCAATAAACCTTTATTCGCTGTTGAAAGAGCCTATCTTGGGGGAGCATTGTGGAAAATTTTTACGAGAGAATGTTTTCCGGTAAAGACTGTGTTTCAGTCGCCTCCTCACTTAGGCCTGCAATCCTGTCAGACTAAAAATTTTCGGAAAATTTTCGACATGTGTCAGAAGAAGCAAGAAAAACACTTTCAGATGATACAAACTATTCCGCATCAAATGTCTTCTAGAACAGCTGCTTCAAACACAAAGTAAAAAATCGAACAGACTTGTGCAGCAGCCTGGTACACTTGCTCTATTTTATTTTCTAAAATTGAGAAAATTAAACTTCCTTGGTTTTGCCAGAGTGTTGAGCTCTTCTAACGCAGATAATTTTATAATAATCTCTGGAAGCAAACAAACTCTAAAATACTTTTTTAGAGTTTGGCTGTATGTGATATTGCTCCTCGCACAATTTTGAGCTTCGCCTTGTAGAGGGCAACGACAAGGACATAGAAAGTAGCCTCGATATGTAAAGTAATATTTCTATACTACAAACCATTGAATATACAAACATAAACTCTCAGAATACGCGAATTTTTTCAAGAAACATGAGTTCCGCACTGAAAAGCCAAAAAGCGACATTTTCAAATTTTGAGCTACTTTTATTCCTAAGCCTAAATATGACAAAAAAGGAAGCATTACATATATTTACAAAGTTATTACGAAAATGCGCAAAGTTGGACTCGGATAAAGCTCAAAGCCAAACAAGGTTGAACTCGCATAAAGCTCAAAGCCGATCTGAAAAATTTGAATACGAAAATATCTTTTGTATAGGATTTTGCAAACCTTTTGCTAGCGTTTAATACCCGAACATACATTATATTTGGTCAGCACAAAAGTTTTATCGGTTTCCGGAAGCCATCTGCAAATTCCATGCAGTAAATGTAACCGAACACTTCAAACAGTGACAGAAGCAAGTTCCTTTTCCAAAAACTGTGTTTAAAAAGTGATTCTTGTGACGAGCGCTTAATACATTTCTGAAGACTAAGACCCTTCATTATTTAGCATGTCTATGTTTCGTTAATTTTCAAAATTTTGTTGGAAATTTCTCAAATAGGTTTGATAACCAACTGATAGGGCAATCATCTGCAACTTGATGCGATTCTGTTGTTATCGTAACCTCGTCAGTAGAATCATATAATATAATATCGTAACGACAATTCAAAAATCATGGAAAAGCGGGAAACCGCGCGGCGGTCCCGGCGCGGAAACATCTAGCAATGGGCCGGGAAATAACATTTTTTGAGTCGTTTCTGTATCTTTTGCCCATTTTTGTATCATTTTTGTCTTTCTCGCAGCGTATTTTTCTTCTCAATACGTCAAGACGAATTGTTTCAGTAGGCTGTTCTTTGTGTGCCATGGTTAGTACCAGATGGATTGGTGGAGAAGTTCTTTTGGCTGATTATGAGCAAGAAATACTCCTCACATTGCGATATTCGAGAGATCGATTATTGGGGGCTATTCGTTTTGGATATCCATCTGCAATGCCAGATAATCTGCTGACTTTAACAGCGGGAAGATTCAGTATCGCTCTATGAGTTCCTCCGCATTCCTTCATGCCTGCTGAATCTGATGTGCTGTTTAAAATCGATGAATGGTGAGTTTTGATTTCTGCAGTAACTGGTAATTTATACTACCCAGTGCACAGAGTACTATGGCACCCCTGTTAAGACAGCTTTTCTTCATGACCCTCAGGGTGGTGGAAACTAGATAAACAAGGTGCACGATGATTGATATTGGCAGATATAAAAGTGTTGCTTACTCTTTCTTCAGGCAAACACCTATTTATTCCCACGCCATCAAATTTTGGGAGACTGCTCAGCTCGCCAAAGAATGTTTACTCCAAGCAGTTTGACGACGTTGACATTATCCATTGCTCTCTCAGTGTGTACTCCCAGTTTTTAACAGCCATGTTTGCCTATTGTTTAGGTCACCACCCATCGCTTTCCATTCCCATAGACTAAGAGGAAGTTGCTACTATAGCTTCAAATGTGGCACTTCCGTGGGAGATACCAGCCGATATGACGCCATGGCAGGGTCAGCGCCACTTATGGCACTTCCAGATGTTAGATTCCGCGTAGGATTGATGGATGGCTTAGCAAAAAGGCGAGTTTATGTCATTCTACGCTATTCCTTTTAACAGCCGGATCTTGTTTTGTCGGGTCCACATTTACTTACAGCTACTATGGCTAGCCACATGCAGCTTTTGGTTCTTGTTGGTATCTATGTTCACAGTCGTAAGGATTTGATGCGCAAGGATGAGGCAACGGGCGCACAACAACGTTTATCGAGAACGCGTGTGGACTTGTGGGGCGAGGCGAGTTGTTAATGCTATCCAAATGCTCATTGTGGTTCGGGCGTGATTTTTCGAGGCCTAAGGCCTCGGACAGAGTTCACGCGATTTGATCGTCGCGATTTAATCGACGCGATTTCCTTTCATTTTCATTTCACATTCAAAAATTTCGGGATGCAAAAGTATCACAATCGAAATGCAAGCTGGTCGGCATGCAATGCACTTATAACAGTTGTCTTGTCGCGATTGAATCGCGACGATCAAATCGCGTGAACTCTGCCCGAGGCCTTATGCTGTTGGTTAGTGAAGCCTGCCAGATGTCAATTCGTTCTTGATCATGGTCATTATTGTTTTTGATCATCATCACCACTGTGCACTTTTTTTGCCATCCAACTCTCGCTTCTGGCTCTCGGGAGTTCCTAGACATCGCCTAGGATGGCTGGTCCCAGCTTCCAGCAAATGATAGAATCACAGTGGAGAATGCATTACCGATAGCCAGGGTCAATCAAGAGGTGTGGGACACGATCACTGGTTACGACCCCCCCCCCTAATTGCTGTGTCAATAAGGCCCCCTGAACTAGGTACCTAAAGTAGCTTTACTTGAAGGTCCTGTCAAACATAACGGCAACATATCCATAATTAGCATGTCAATCAACCCCTATATGCCAGGATACTGCCATACTAAATGAGATTTCAGTGTTTTGTGTGATCCCTGGGGATCTCCAGGGCAGTATATGCTTTTGTTTTCTGAGTGTCGCGGTCGGCGCGGCTCGCGTTTTCGCGAACCGCCTTACTTGGGTCATTGTGATCGCGAACTTGTTTCGGGGCGTTTTCCCAAGCTCGTCAGTCATTGGTGTCTATGGGTTCGCTTGTTCCCACCTCTCAAGCATGAGAAAATAGCGCATCTGCTGAGGGCGAACGCAAGACCCAAGCGAGACGGCTCGCGAGGATCCGAGCCGCGCCGACAGTGACCCTTCGATGGAGTCCCTGTAGATTCTAAGCGGAATCTGTACTAAAACCATTCTTTAGCTTCACCGTTCCTTTGACCTTGACATCGGCAAAGTTAATTTCACCTTTTACCTTCATGAATTCTTGCAGGTGCAATCAACATGCTTCTAAAGCGCTGTTGCGACGACCAGAGGAGTACCACATAGTAAAACAACGATCGCTCGCCCGAGTTTACGTGCTGCAATGGTAGAGTGGCGACTGGAATGATAGGTAAAGTATCTGACTCTGTTCCATTTTCTCGTTTGTCGAAATGATTGTCAATGACCCGGATATACCTCACGCGATTTCAGTCGCCACGCGACTTGGCAATACTCCAGTTCTTATGATTCGCAAACTCAATTTGATCACATGGAAAATACCACATTATATCGAATCACAAACGTTGAATATATCAAGCATTTGCGGTCTGCGGTTGTTGGGTTTGAAGAGACCGGCAAATGGCCAAATCGCGTGACGACTGAATTCATGAGAAGGAACCTATTATTCACTAAGTATGAATGTTCTTATGCTTATCCTCATTGATCTTTCATCAAGAAGTGAATCAGACTACTTTGAAGTTTGTTCCCCGGAGAAACAGAAACATTTTGCGGAGTCAGCAACATTGTCCAGACTTCAGACCGTCCTTGTATTATTTATTATGTATCTATTTTTGTGGAGGTCTCTTTGAGTTTGTCCCACGTCAGCGTCTTTTTTCGTGCACTTGGGTTTTGTAGTATACATGTGGCGCAATCAATGACATGTTGCGAATTTGATTTTCAACTTTGCTTACGGGAAATCGCGATCATGAAAAGAAAGGTCATGCAGGGAAGAAGGTGATGTAATGTATTTGAAATACTTGATATATACATCTTTTTTCATAGAAAGCTGCAGCAGACATATCTGCCTCAGCGCGTACTAAGCCAGGCACTTCCAGATATGAGTAGTGGCATGCGATATTTTTAGAATTTTCACAATCCCACTGCAGTGGCAGCGATATACTAACAATCAAGAAGGACGTCAAGACTGATTCAAGCTGGTTCGTCATTCATAGCCTGCCAATAAAGTTACGTACAACATAAAGTGCCCTTCGGATCATTCTCTCTCTCTCTCTCTCTCTCTCTCTCTCTCTCTCTCTCTTGAATTTCGCCTCTGAGCATGTAGATTGCTCGGGCTTATGGGAAGCAAGCAGTGTTTGCCCTAAGAGGCAGTGTCCGGGAAGAAATGGATCTTGAGGTTTTTTGCCTATCTGCTTATTTGCTGTGCTGAATCCAGAATGCATCTGAATAGGAAAAGGGGATCTAGCGCAGAAGGCAGTCAGCAAATGGGCGGGGTCTTCAATTCTGTGAAGTCATTTTCCCAACTTCTAGAACGATTTGATTCACGCGTTTGTGCTTGGCCGGTGGCAAGGTTAGGGCGGCTAGCTGAAGCGAGAAGATTGCCTCGGAAGCGGGAAAATGACTTCACAGAATGGAAAACCCCACCTGCTGATTCCCCTCCTGCTCTATAACCATCTTTTACCATTTTCGCGCTCTTCAGTGTGGATTTTTCAATTCAGCATGGCGAATAGGCCCAGGTAAGCAAAAAAATCTCCTTCTTCCCGGACACTGTCTTTAACTGTAGCAGTGCTCGAGAATTTATTACAGTCGAGTAGATTTCCTGCTTAATATAGTGTCCCTGCAGACGCGACAACGCTGGGGCGTCAATAATTGCCTGACGAGTTCCCGAGCTAGTGTTTTTCAGTGTTTTCTTTACTTATTCTATGCTTTTTAGGTGATTCGTTGCTGATAAAGAAGAAAAGGGTAAGTTAAAGAGTAGTTTCTGTTTCCTGAGAAGTTTATCATCGCGTATTCACAGATATCCACGTGGAAGCAGTTCGCGTCATCTTCTTGTCTATTTTTTTGTCACTTCATGTCTCTTTCTTCTTGTGAGGTACTTCTTTGAACGCTAGTGTTTTTACGATTGACTTATTGTCTTTATCACATGAAGTGCGAAATGCTTCCACGTGTATATCTGTGAATATGGATGAGAATATGCGATGATAGAACTTCAAACTTACCCTATTCTTCTTTATCAGCAACGAATCAACTAAAAAGCATGGAACAAGCAAAGAAAACACTGGAAAACACTGGCTGGGGAACTCGCAAGGCATTTATTGACGCCCCAGCGTTGTCGCGTCTGCAGGGACACTATATTAAGCAGGAAATCTACTCGACTGTAGGTTGGAAACTAAGTTTTGCAGCTACTTCAGTAAGTTTCTTCTTTTTCAACAGGGTGCACCCAAATTTCGCCGTAATTTGGATTATGACGCAAGCTACAATCGAGTGGATTTAGCGGTAAATATAGTGCGCTTGCGCAGAAGGTGAAATGCGGTGAAATTTGCGCGTGAATAAGTAGCCACGCCAGTACTGCGGGTATCGTGCGCGCGCAATTGGCCGGCGTCACAGTCGAAGTCAACAGTTGCTCTCCTGCCTCTCCTGCCAAATTCTGACATCGCGTTAGTTTTATGGTAGGTATATGATACAAAGGAAAAATTACAAAATTTTACGGATTTGGCAGAAACTAAACATAGGGGGTTACTCAACATGCTGATTACGAAAATAATACTAAAATTGCATTGTAAGGGCTTTTTTTGTAAGTTCACTGTAGGTTACCGTATGGGATCTAGCCTTAAACAAGGAAAGAGGCGTTAATTCAACTATCGAGCATGGTATTCGTGTTTGGCAAAACCACTACGTGAGGTCTCAGCGGAATTTAGAGTTCCAGCTGCTTTGTTGTCCACAACACTCTTACGTGAAGCATCTCGTTCAACTTTGTGAGAGCGCCACATCTCGATTTGTCTTTCAATTCTGTTCATTTTCTACTGAGCCAAATGAGTCAGCCTCTGGCAACGATTTACACACAATTTTGGATCATTGTGCATGATCTGACTTGCAGATGGCTTGATTTTCACTTATAACCCCAAAAATACTCGAAATTCGCTAATTTTGAAAAATGCCTGTAATTTTTCCAAGTCGTGATCAAAAATCAAACAGTTTGCGCATAATTGCAACACACATTGAGTTCTCTATATTGCCAAAGTTTGAGCGCACCACATTACAAGAAAGAAAAGTTATGAAGGAGGTTGCAAAACTTAGTTTCCAGCCTAATAGTAAGGGTGCGTCATTTTATATAAGACTAGAATTTTATGACTAGAGATGGACAATGCATAGATCCGGCAAACATCTTTGCGTGTATTCGTAACATCCACGGATGACTTTTTTTCTTCCTTTCTTATCTCTAGCTCATTCGCTCTTTGTAATCAAATATTGGGGATGTTTTCGTTCAGGAAATGGCAGATGGTTGTTTCTGGGAAATGTCACACTAGGAGGGGGGAGGGAGGCTGTGAACAACTTAGCAAGACCGGGAGATGGCCGCTTCGCAGGACAATAACGACTGGCCTTGCGTTGCTTGTCTAAGGCACGCGCACACACACACACAACCCAACGCAATCTGTTGATCCATCTGTGAATTGATCAAGAATGAGGCGGAAAGAGTAGCCGCTTCTCTGTTGCTCAGTCCACTTTTTGACCAATAATGAAGTGGATGGGATCAAGTGGATTAAGTGTGGGCATGTACTTGAAATTTTGCTCCCCCCTCCTTCCTGCTCAGGCAAAAGCAACCGTAGATCGCTCGCCGAAAGTTCGTGCGTGATTGGTTCAACAACGTTTGAGCGAATGGGCCCACATCGCGGGAAATTCGTCAAAAGAGGAATTACTTGGCCGTGTAAGCCGTCCGCGCAGGGCGCGAAGAGTGTGCAAGGTTTGTATTGCGCGTCACTCCTCTTTCCTCATGCACTCTCTCCGCCTGTTTTCTCTGCGCTTCTTCCAGTCGTCAACTGGGTTTAATGTACGCAACAGCGTTGCTCTCCATGCGCAGCGGGGACGGCCTATAGTAGGTTAGCACATAAGCTTTGCTTCTTGTAGGCTTTGTCTTTTGAATGTGGCGTTTCCATTTGCTTCCTCATTATAATGGCTGTCATGTGAGCAACGAATGCAGCCATTTCTGCCGAATCTCAACATCGCTTGAAAGTTACGGTAAGGCCGTTTCGATTGCGAAAGAGAAGGGAATTGTCAGGAAGGATGGAGCCTGGTCTAGGAGGGAGGTTACGACATCCTGATCACAGACATTTATTTTGCGTGGTAGGCTTATTCTGTTACGAAAAAACGAGTTAAGAAAAATCAATGGGCTATTTTTTTAACCTTCAGAACATAAATTATCGTAACTCTTACTGTAGCTATCTTACCGTAACTCTCAAATGAGATATTGGAATTTGGCAGATACTGCATTTGCTCACATGATACTCATCATAATACCAAAAAATTTTCGTGTTCAGCATGCCAAAGTACCCCATTTTTGCAAAGTTCTCAAAATTTCCAAGTTTCGACTCTTTGGCTTTGATGGATTTCCGAGGCAGCTTTGACGCACTCCACTCCTTTGAGTTCGCAGGATCGCCAGATTTCGATTTGTCTTCAACTTACAATTTTGCTGAGCTCAGTAGCCAAACTTAAAGAACATTTGGCGCTATTCCGCTATCCGGGCCCCAAAATTTTTTTGTCACGGATTTCGCTCAAACTTGGCCCAAGGGGGTTATCTGACATGCTGATCACGAATATCACCTTTTCTCCGCAGGAAAACGCGTCCATGCAGGGTTACGGTAGGTATACGGTAGGGGGTCAAAATCACAGATTTGGCTGAAACTCAGCCCAGGGGGGTTATATGACATGCTGATCACGAATATCACATTTTTCCCGCAGGAAAACGCCTCCCCGTGGGCTTACGGTAGGTATACGGTAGGGGGTCAAAATCACGGATTTGCCCGAAACTTAGTCTAGAGGAGTTATTTGGCATGCCGAACACGAATATGATGTTTATGTGCCACAGCGCCATCCGGTGGAGTTACGGTAGGACTACGGTGGAGGGTCAAAATTACGGACTTGCCCGAAACTTCGCCTAGAGGGTTTAGTCGGCCCGCTGATGCCAAATATCACATTGGTTTTGAACCATAGCCTCATTTTCTCGGGTTACGGTAGCTACACGGTAACGGGTGTAAAGCATAGTTCTGCCTGAAACGGGTGCACGACGATTCCGACGAT